ACCCTAACCACTGAGCTAAGGGAGCCAAGCTATACTTATTTTCTTAATATGTTATTTTCCCCCCCATTTCTAATATAAAAAAATCTGTTACAACATTAATTTTAATCTCTCAATCGCTCATAGAAATTAATGGAAATATAAAACAGAAATTAAATTATTAAAATTAAAACACACTTTGGCTGAAAAGAAGTAATTTTGTCTATAACACTTAAGCATTTTATATTCCAAAATAAATTTGAAGAGGCACTCACAAAAGTATATTTTAAAAAGAAAAGCACAATTGCTTACATTCTAAAATTCCTTGTTTTATAGAAGTATTTAAAAGCATCATTGCAGTGGCAGCATCAATATCAGAATCTGAAAAGGGAAAAAGGTGGTAATATTAATGTTCTTTATAAAATAGAGGCTACTGAAAAATGTTTTCATGCATTCAAAGATAACAAGTGTTAAGACTCGATGTATATGGGTCATTATGAAAGTTAAGAGATATGAAAAAATTGAGAAACGTAAAATCTGTGTGGACAGAAACAAGTGAACCCCTCCCAGCGTAAGTGAATCAGAAAGGACCCTGTTGGCATAATAGACCATAACATATTCTGTTTTGAAACTTTTGTAGTGAACCACATAAATTCTTCTACTTTAAAAAGAAAGCATAAACATGTATTAAACAAAAATGGGATGTTATTATGCATATTATTTTGCAATCTGCTTTTGTTCACTTAAAATTATGGGCCAGGTTTGTAAACAGTCTTATGTAAGAGAGAATGGAAAGGTACTAGAGATGATAAAAGTTTTCTTTATTCACAATGCAAATGAAAATTTGAACTCCATTTTTATGAGATTTTCCCTTAAATGGACTAAACTACCCAAAAGGGTATATACAGCATTACTACTTTGGGGCATTTTTTACCTTGAGTAATAGCTCTACTTATGCATACCTGCAGTTATGAAGTATTGTACTGCATTAATTACATGCCAGCTGCAGAGGACAAAAACATCTGTAATTGGTCAGTCTAGCTCATATGAATCTACCAATGCTAAATGAGCAATTATGGGAGGAACAAAAATATTGCTAATGTTTTTAGCCATAATTATACACAAGACCACAGGTACTACAGATTTACACAATATTCATGAGGTCAAACATAATTATGGATTAAAAAATGGGCCTTAAAAGGCTGGTAAAAAAAAAAAGGGGGCTAGTAAAATTAGCAGATTCAACTATAAAGTCATTATTCTCATATCTACTTATATCCTACTACTGTAAGGTCTTCTCCTGTCTTGGTGATGTTGTTTTAGAACCTGAGTAACTAACTGAAGAAAAGTAAAATGGTGTAAATCTGAAGTGTGAGGGAAAAGTTAGAAAATTTTAGCTTATAAGGAGCAACTTTAAAATCAGACTCAGATATGGAAGTCTCCCCTCTGTATCTCAAAACTTGAAATTTTTGTTTTTCTTTTTTTGAGACAGAACTTCAAGCTGTTGCCCTGGGTAGAGTGCCATGG